AAAAAGGCAAGGCAGGAAAACTGAAGGAAACATTTTCTCCAAGACATGTATCTATGGGAAATGCAGGCAGTGTTCTTCAATGCTGTGTTAATTGCAATGTTAATGGTGCACCACACAGTGCAGTAGCCCAGCTGATCCTGATATGGGATCCAGGAACATTCCAGCAATGGTACTAGAGCTCTGCTCTCAGGGTCCTCTTGCAGGTCTCATGCAGTGACAGGACATCACTGCCTCCACCAGAAACCGAGGCTGACAGACAACAGCAGCTCAGGTAAATACACAGCACTGAAGCAGCAGCTGTGCAGCTAGAAGCTGGAATTTCTCCTTAGCGCAGGAGGAGTGAGCCCAGATGTCTTGCTGGATGCAAGTTTGTTTGCTTCCTTGTCATCTGGTGACTGCTCTGGGGAGGCCCTTTGGCAGGTTATGCTCTGTCTGAGGTGTCCCATGGAAGATGGGCAAAGAAAAGCAGGGTACAAGGGCCTGGGGCTTGCAGAGGGATTTCCCTGTTCTGACATATGCAGTTTTAACTCGTGTGACCAGTTACATGCAGAGGTTCATTCTGTCAGATTTGCTAATGTGTCCCAACCCTTGTCTCATGAACCCCAAATCTCTTTCTGACATGGTTCTGTTTTGATTTGTTTTGTTGAAGGAGTGGAACAAGACGCACAGCACAAACCAGATACGCTTTGTAATTGTAAGTCAGCTGCTTGCTAGGCATACATGACACAGACACGCTCGTGTGCACCTCTGACACGGTGCCTACCTGTCCTGGTGCTGTTTTCTCTCCATATAAACATCCATGTGGGTGGAGTGTTTGTGTTCTGAAATAATTAAAAATGTACATTTGCATGTTGTATGCTGTCTTGTTGACTCCATGCTTCAAGGCACAGTAAGAATGTGTAGGCATTTGATCTTGTGTTAGGATGAGCATTTCAGAGTAATGCACAACCTTGCTGTCCAGCACTGACCTCTGTTTGCTGCTGTGGCTCTGAAAACCACGAGCCAGCCCTGTGGCTGTTATTTATATGTGTTATTATAAATTCTTAGCAGTTATTTGTTAGGGATGTGTTCTACATGGAACAGAGCAAAACCGGACTTCTCCCAGCACTCCAAATGCATTCAGACTTTAACAGAGGTGCAGACAGACCCAAATCCAGTCTCTGGATCTACAGAAAGAATTGCTTACATGCTGTCTAGGCGCACGCTGCCCAGGGTAACGAGGTGCCTTTCATTCACAGCCCAAATGCTTGCAGTGAAAGCACAGTCAGCTTTGTAGCTGGGGAGAGGAAGCATCTGATCCAAAACTTGGCTGGCAGTATGAAACAATTGGGAATGTGTCGCAGCCACATTCCTGGCTGGCCATGCCTTTGTTCAGCAGCAGGACGTGGCTGGAGGCATATGGTGCCCAGAGAAAAAGATTTGTCAACACAACCTGCAACTGTTTAGCATCTATTGCCATATGGGGTGCGCATGGAATTCCCCACATGACCTCCATTTAAATTGCCTCTCTGCACTTGGATGTGGTGCATTGAGATGCTGGGTGAGTGCTGTGCATGAAAGAAGGGGGGAAAAACAGGATGCATCCACACTGGCTGCCAAATCTCCCTCTTTCTCCAGGTGGCAGGTGTAAGAAAGACAAGTAACACTGTGAAACAAGTACAAGGAAAAGTACAAGGAAATAAAATCTTTAGCTATTTAGAAAAATAAATGTATGTATGCCAGTTACACCAGCTTGTTTCCAAGTGTACTGCAATAGCCATCCATGAAATGTGCCTAAGATGCTTGTATGAGGAAACTTGATTGCTCGAGCTGAATAACAAAAGTCTAAGGAAACTTAACAGTAATGAATCAAAGTGTTTAGGTGGTCAGGGTATGTTCCATCGAGTGGCATCAGGCTGTGTGTAAAGTAAAATTTATTATTAAAAATGCCCAGACTTTTCCATACTTGTTTAACGCAGCATCTTTTTGCATGCAAGAGCACAGGGCATACAAAGTCTGCTCATCTGCTGAGTAGAAAGCAGTAAAAGCACAGACTGCTAACACTTGCAAGAGTGTGCTTCTATCTGGCTTCCTTCATCACAAGCCTCACCTAATAGCAAAATGAGTACAGAGCAGGAGAGAGTCCTCACGCACATCTTGAAATGCTTTATGTAGAATTATTTTCAGCATTTCTCTGCTTAATCAGCTCCTCTGTTTGCATGACTCCTACACAGAGCACCGAGGGAAAGCAACCATTATAAAAAGAGGAAAAAATATTTCAGTAAACCACAAAAACTGGCCAGTGAACTAGGGGGCAGCTGGGGAAACAGAGAACTCAGTCAGTTGCAAAACAAAAGTCAAAGTCCTAGCGAGCCACTTCTGTGCTTTCAAGCACTAGGAAAAAGCTCCCTAAAGAGCCACCCAAGTTTCCTAAAAGCAAACATTTTGGATAATATTAATTGTCCTTTAAAACATCCATTACAAAAACTGAGGCTCAAAACTAAATATTATGACAACACGTTGTTACAACAGCGACGTGGAAGGATCAGAGTTGGCCCTTTTGATGTGTATATGGCAACCTGGAGGGAGCAGCACCCACTTCCCCAAAGCCCTACAGATCTGCAACGGGCACAGAAAGCAGAGCTTGCAAACAGCCCCAGTGATGGTGAAATATCCACATCATAGGGGCAGGGAGAAACTGCCAGGTATGGAGTCAGGAAAAACAAGTTCAGAAATAACTTTTTTTTTTTTAAATCGTAGTTTTTCTCTCCTCCTCAGCAATGCTTCCTAGGAGTTCTTAATGAATAGCTTGTTCCTGCAGGACTCAAGATAATTGGCAGTGCCCTAATTTTTTTCTTCCCATGTCTTATTATTGTGGATTTAATTATTTACTGAGGAACTCAGGTTCATTAAGCACCACTGGGAAATACCCTGCGGCTTTGGTTGTGGTGTCACCTAGAGCAAGAGTTCTGTAGGCACTTCTGTACAAGTATTTGGAGCCAGGGGGGCTCAGACTCAGCACAGGAGGCCCTGCCCCATCCTACACTTCTAGGAAGTGGGCCAGCTCTATGGTGCCTCACCACAGCCAGGTAAAAAGTGGAGCACATGTTTAGGACCTGATTCACTCGATGCAGTATCAAGGTGACTATAACAACACTCTAGGATGGTAAGAAATGACAAAGATATCCATTTACTTGCCTGGGAAGCTGTTGCAATAATTGCACCACACGCGATACTGTGGAGAAGAACAGAGCTGAAGTTAATAAAAATGAGAACTCATTGTGCAGAACTCATTACATTCTTCTATTTCAGCCAGACAACATTAGTGTTTATTGTATTTCTGTACAAATTGATTCATCCTTCCTTTTTAAGGCAATTAAACAAATTAATTCTATTTTTACTCTGCTTTATTCACTGAGTGAAATTAGAAGTTTCAATTTAATTCGTAAATTTAGGGCCGAGGGAAAAGCGCCCCATTTTGCCGTCAAAATCTGACGAGCTCATTCCCACTTCAACTTGGCCGCCAAAGTGGGGAAGCGGTGCCACCTGCAGACCGCTGCAAGCCAGACACAGAGGAGAGCGGAAGCTCCGCAGCCCGTGAGTCCTTAAGCTGCTAAGGCAGCCTCACCACCAGCAAAGCCAAAGGCATTTGATAATTAGCCCTATGTGATTTGAAATAAACGCTTTTGATCGACGAAATATTCAGGAAACGCAAACTGTCTTCATTTTTCAATAAATGCCAGTGTTTTCTTCAAGTTACACTCCATTTCTCACATACAATCCAGAATTCCTTGAAAGTATTAGTTTTATTGAGATTGCTCATTTTATGAATTTCTGCCTGTGAAGGCAGATGTCTTTACCACAAAGCCTTTTTATAAAACATGATGTACAAGTATGAAATGAATAAATACAAAACAATCTCTTCTACCTTTCTCTGGGCAGCCTGGTCTGCTGGTTGGTGATCCTGCACATAGCAGGGGGGCTGAAACTGGATGATCATCCAGAAAAGGTGGTCCTATTCCACCCAGGCCATTCTATGATTCTACACTCAAGGACTTTATTTCTCATCATAGAGCAGCTTGGGCTGGATGGGACCTTAAAGATCATCCAGCTCCAACCCTCTGCGTAACACGTGAAGTGCCAGGCTTTATGCATCTGTCTCACAGCTGAGACCAAAGCGGTGGTGACGAACATCTGAAACATTTGAATTTGGTCTAGGATTAAAGGTGGAGGTTGGTCACCCTGCATGCGGCAGGGGGGTTGGAGATTTATGATCCTTGAGGTCCCTTCCAACCAACGCCATTCTGTGAGTATGTGAAACAAAGGGGCACAAAGCATCACTGAATCATACAGAAATCTTTCATGAAAACGTCCTCGGCCGTGCCACCGTTCCACGAGCCGGGAGTCAAAGCAGACGGTGACTCAGACTCACACCGTGAGACGTGGCCAGGAACCCCGTGCTGGGTGCGGTGCGGTGACTGCGTGTGAGGTCACAGCCAGAATCTCCGGAGCTCGGCCACGGCTGCACACAGGCCGCCCACAGGTCGCTCATCGCAGCCGTTAGAAGAGCTCTGAGCAGCGCTGAGTGGCTGTGGGGATTTCGGCAGCCCTGCAGGCCACAGGAAAGGCCTCGCGCCGTTTGGCGAGGCTGCAGCCGGCGCTCCGTAGCCACATCCCCTCAGCGACCGCCGCCTCCTCACAGCCACACCCCCACAGCGCCGTGCCTCCCGCCTTCCGACACCCGCTGCCACACCGCCGCCTGGGCGCTCAGATATCTTTTAAAGCCAGATTCTGACAGTAGGGGTTTAAAAAACCGCCCCGCAATGCAGCTTCCACAGCGAAAACAGAAGCAAAGCAAACAACGAACGCACGCCCACACACCTCAGGGACCGCCTCAAAATGGCGCCCGCCCACCCGTGACGTCACGCGCCAGAAGCGGAGGGGCGCGGCTGAGGCGGGAAAGGGAGGGTCCCGCCCAAAGCCCGGCCCTGCGAGGCCCCCGGGCTGCCCCAACCGGCGCCTGACTCTCCGCGGCACTCGTGTGGACGCCGCTGACGGCTTTGGGGGCCTGCGGCGGGACAGCTGGGCGCCGGGGCGAGGGGACACGGCGCGGCGGGGCTGCGCGGCAGCCGCCGAGATGCCGCTCTTCGCCTCCAACCCCTTCGAGCAGGATGTAGGTGAGCGAGCGGGGAAGGGCGGAACGGCCGGCGGGACACAGTTCGGCTCGGCGCGGCGTCGGGGCCCGCGGCCGCGGCTCGGGCCTGCAAGGTGGGAGCGGCGGCTGCGGCCGTCTGCCTCTTGGAGCCGCGGTGTGTGCGGCTCGTCGGTTCGGACTGGGAGTCGTGGAGGTGAAGATTGGCCTCGTTGGGTGGGGTTGTGCGCGCTGGGTGTCCGAAGGGACGCGGCCCCGGTTCTGCCCCAGCTGGCGCCGCGTCCCATTGCAGAAGCGGGCGCAGCGTGGGCCGGGCTGGTGCGGCCGTGACTCAGCCGGGCTGTGCGGGTCGGGCTGCGGTCCAGCGCTGCTCTCCGGGTCGTCCGGTTTGTTCCGTGACTAGTTTTTGTTTTTCTGGTTTTTTAAGGCCCGTTTCTAGCATTGCATAATAATCGTAGAACCATAGAATCACAAGGTTAGAAACGACCTGTGAGATCATCTAGTGCAACCGTCTTTTCCTCACCACTGCTACCACAAACTAACCCATATTTCGCAGCTCCTCATCCAGACGCCTCTTGAGCACTGCCAGGGATGGCGACTCCACCACCTCCCTGGGCAGCCATTCCAGTGCCTGACCACTCCCTGAGAGAAAAAGTTTTTCCTCATGTCTAACCTAAACCTTCTCTGGTACAACTTGCAGCCATTTCCTCAGGTCCTGTTTGTTGCCTGGGAGAAGAGGCCAAAGCCCTCCTCATCACAGCCTCCCTTCAGGAAGTTGTAGAGTGCAGTGAGGTTTCCTCTGAGCCTCCTCTTCTCCAGACTAAACAATCCCAGCTTCCTCAGCTGATCTTCATAAGATTTGTGCTCCAGACCCCTCACCAGTTTCATTGCCCTTCTCTGGACATGCTCTGAATTGCACTGTATCGAAAGCAGTAAAAATAATCTAGATACTGGGGTCAGACTTGCATTTTCTTCACCTGCCTAAAACCCCAGGGTTTTAGGTATGAGTAGAATTCATCATTACAAAATCACAGAACTTTAGGGGCTGGAAGAGATCTTGGAGATCCCCCAGCCCAGTTCCCCAGAGCGCACTGCAGGTTCTCTGCATAAGGCTGCAGGTTCCCTAGGGCAGGATTCTGGACACTGGCAGGAAGAAGCGGTGGCTGTAAGTGCTTGCATGAACACCCCATTTCCTTCTTGTGAGTGTAAGTCCTGCCCCTCTACTCTGTGCTGGTAATGCTCACCTGGAGTGCTGTGTCTACATGTGGAGTCCTCAGTACAGGAGGGACATGGAGCTGTTGGAGAGCATCTAGAGGAGGGCCACGAAATCAATCCGTGGAATGGAATGGAACACCTCTCCTATGAGGACAGGCTCGAAGAGCTGGGGCTGTGCAGCCTGGAGTAGACAATGCTCTGAGGTGATGTGATAATAGCGGCCTTTTGGTGTCTACAGGGGAGCCACAGGAAGGAAGGAGACAGACTCTTTAGCAGTCTGTGGTGATAGAACAAGGGGAAATGGCTTCAAGCTCAAAAAGGGTAGATTTAGGTTAGATAAAAGGAAAAAGTCTTCTACAGTCATTAGTACTGGAGCAGTGATGTGGTGGGCGCCCCATCCTTGGGGACTGTCAAGGTGAGGCTGGATCAGGCCCTGCGCAACCTGACCTAGCTGTGGTGTCCACGTTCACTGCAGGGGAGCTGGGCTAGATGGCCCTCAGAGGTCCTTTCCAACTCTGAGGATTCTGTGATTAGGTGCACTGTTTTCTTCATGTACCTTCAACGTTTGTATATTGAAGGCACTGCCTTCAGTTGACTTTGGTGTTGACCTGTGGCTAAAATGAAGTAGCAACCAGCTAGGCCAGCTTCAACCAGTGCACTTGTTTCAAGGAACTCGTTGTGTACCTTTCTCTGACGTATTTGTACAAGTTGAGACTTCTTGAACTGGAGACTCACAGCTGTACAGAGCTCTATGCCAAACTGGAAAGCTGCAACGACTCTAAAGATTGTTGCAAACTGATGGTCAGTATGTCTGTAGTTTCTTACTCACTGTATTGTACATAGTGAGTAGAACTGCTCACATGTGCTACAATTAAACAAGTGCAGTGGGAATTTCATTATTGAGGCTAAATCTTACAGTCCCTTGCTGAAGAAAATCTACTTTTTGCCACTAGGAGCTTTTTTCCTTTAGCTATTATTAGTAAATCAGACAACACCAAGTATCAAATTAGTGGTTGTGGTTGCTCTGTACTTTCACTGGTGGTACTCAGGTGAAGCTGCTCATGCTCTTTTTGAGCTTTAACTTTACAATTTGAGGTTTTATTTTCTCATTCATCTTTTTGATTTAGAAAAATAAAGGTGCATGCCACGAGCATAGTTGAGCTCTGCTGATGTCCTGATGCTACTGGAAAGGAAAGCTCTTCCATGTTCTCGTCTGCTCAGGTGTTGTGGGTTGCTCTCTGGGCTGATTCAGTGCATTCTTTTCAGCAGAAAGCAAATTCCAAAGGAGTGTTTGGCTGACAGATGAGATCATCTGTGAAGGTGATGAAGTTTGGTGGCTTGAATCAGCTCATCAAAGGCTGCGAAGTGGCAGTGACAAGGAGGAGCAGGGCTCCCTGGGAGGGTCGGTGGGGGAAATGGAGCCCTGCTTCTGGTGGCAGTGAGAAATTGGGTTGATTCAGATATCTCTTCAAACCATGCCTTCGGTACTGCAGCTTTCTTGGGAGGGGGCCTTTAGAAATTATAGATAAACACAGCTGCAGCTGTTGTTTTCTTTAGTTCTAAACTCATGTGTTTGCTTTTCAGCTGATCTGAGCAGGGTCTTACTTCCTCAGCATTTGCTTTGGTTGCTTTGTCAGTGGTAGCAGTTCCATGAGATTAACCTATTTAATAGTTTCAGAAATTCCATTCCTTCCACCTATGGGTTTTTTTTATTTTTATTATTATTTTAGTTGAGAGAATACCACAAGTATTCAGTTCTCTAAAGGGTTTGAAGCATTTTAATTTCCTACCTAAATCTGTTCATTGTTAGTCCATATGCACTCGCTGTTTTCCCCCCACTGCAAGCCTTCTTCTTAAATAACCTTCATCTATTAAAGTAGTAGCTCATCCAGTAGAGGACAAGCCTACTGCTTTTCATCCTTGGTTTAGTTAGCCTTCTTTTGTGAGGTTGTTAACACAATCCCAAGGGTAGGAAGTATTTTTTTCTGTGTAGTTTGAATGGCATCCAGAATTGCATGCCATGTCACGGGTTGCTGGTAACTTGTACGATCACATTTTGTTTCCTTGTTCTTTGCTGAAGTGTTTACCTGCTGTGTTTTATTTTAGTGTTATATTTGCCTTCTTCTGTCTGCTTCATATGGTGTTCTGCATCCTCTTGTGCTTGCACTTGATGTGCTTGTGCTTCTCCTCTTGTTTCCAACCACTGACCTCTTGTTCCTACGAGAATCTTTGATAGACTGGCTGTGTAAGTTTGCATTTTGTCCTGCTGCGATCTTGTTCTGTCTAACCCACTCATCAGTAGTTCACATTTCTGCTTATGTGACATCCTAATCTTCCCTGTTACTGATAATACCTTCCAACTTCATTAGCTTCCTTTGCAGACCTTTACTCCTGCTGCCAGTGCCTGCCAAACTGTGTTCATTTCAAGACTGATTCTTGAGGCGTTCAGCTCCCTGCCTTCTTTAGAGTGCTTTACATCACAACGTGTCTTCCTTATTATGCGAACCGATCCAAGAACTGTAGCTAACAACTCACACATGGCTTCCTATGAAACGTTTCACTGAGTGCTGGACAGACCGGTTGATGCCTAAATTAACCCTTGGCACGGTGTCCTGCCTGAGGAGTAGCTGCGTTCTGTTGAAATTCACCGTGGTTCCATTTCATCTCAGTGTCTTTTAATGTTTGGCTTAAGGTCTTGCAAATGTTTGTGGACAAGCTAATTGGCGAGGGGTTTTCATTCTTGCTCAGGTCTTTTTCTCTTCTTTAAATCTTTTAAAAGTCTTCAATCCGTGACTTGATTTTGATTGGAACGATACGAATTCTTGGATTCTGAATCTGTAGTTTCGTGTCAGTTCTTTCTCATTACCAAGACTGCTGCTTCCAGCCTCAGCCCTGCCTTGATCACTGCATGTCTGTAGTGATCACCTTTCTAATCAGTAAGTAAAAGTTAGGTTATTATGTTTTTGCCTTTTCACTGATTTGGATATACGAGGGCAAAGTAAGCAAAAGAAGGTGTGCAGGATTAAATTTCTGCTTTCCAGAAATTCATTTATGTGGCTCTGGCTTTTCTTTGGGGAAAGAAAACCAGCAATGTGGAGTAATTCTCAATTTATTTTCCCCAATCTTTCACTTTTATTACACAAACACTGTTTTTACATACACAGAATGGCACTGAGTAAAACTTGAAATATGTGTGTCCCTACAAGCTTCTGTTTCACATCACTTTAGGATGCAAATCAGTCTCTAGAAAATTGTCATTTAGTGATCAGGCTGTAACGAACAGCAAAGCAAACTGAAAGGTTGTTTGCAAAATCAGTGTTTGAGTGCTTGTTTTTCCCTCTGTAGCATAAAAGTTGACAGAAGGAAGAAAGAAACAGCTATGTTCTTGTATTTGTTTTCTTGGCTTACACGTGGTTTGGCATTGCAGGCAGGCTTTGCTCAAGGGAATTCATAGGAGATAACGAAATCCTTTGCAGGTGTGGAGGCTGTGCATGCAAAGCATGTAGAGGCTGAGCTGCAGCAGAACAGGGCTGCATGGTGTGCACTATGTGGGATGGAGATTTCTGGCAGTGTTGGTCAGTGAGAGGTGTGCTGCGTGTTGGTAGGACGTGGTGTTGTGCTGTTATGGTGGCAGGGATTGCTGAGCAACCAAGGAATGCCTGGGAGCTGCGAGGTTCTCCCAGTGCCCTTCTTTCTTGTCATGTTCACAATACGTGCTGGAAGTTCCCCCAGTTGCTCATGTGATGTCCCCTTGCTTCCTGCTGTGGTGCGTGTGGATCCAAGCCTGTAGCAGTGACCGTGCACCAGCACTCGCTTATTGCTGATCTGCACACATGATTTGACCTTGTGCCAAGATCTTTAGAGCTGGAGGGCTGGGTGTTTGATGAGATGTGACCAGGAATGCTTTTGGAGGTTTGCCGCACTGCTCTTTTACACACTGAATAGTAATTTATTTTTTTTTTTTACCTGCCTCTTGGTGTTATTTCTGTGTATTGCTCATCTCTTGGGAAATAAGGGAAGCAGAATGGGTGCTGTCGGGCTGGGATGTCCTCCCAGGTGCTGTGTGGTGCAGGGAGGGCCCAGATAAGCTCCAGCAGCCCCCCATGCTGAGGCATTGCCTTCCCTCCATGAGGAGCAGGTGGCTGTGTTTTAAGGCAGTTCTACTGGCAGTAATACCAGTGAGCAGTTCCCATCCCCTCCCCAGCAGCTCGTTTTAGTGCTATCTCCTCGCTTGCGTTGGCATGATTTCTCATGCAGCTGCATGGCAAATCAGATCAGGGAACTGATCCAGTTGAAAGTGATTAATTATGGGTTGGGGGTGGTGGTAGGGTTTGGCTTTTTTTTTTTTTTTTTTAGTGTTCAAACTGGCAGTAAAAATAAATATATCATAATTTTACCATCATGTGCAGAACTAAGCTTGAACTCAGTGTTTCCTCTTCAGCTGGAGAGCTACAGAGCATAAGTTGTGACTTTTTTCTTTATATTCCCTTAGCACAGAGGAAATGTTGGAAAATGCATCTCCCCACATCTGTTTCCTCTGATCACAGTCCGTGTCCTAGCATCTGTGAGGTAGTTATCCTTTGGGACTGTTCTTCAGCTGGAGCTCATGATAAGCAAAGCGACAGATGCTGTTAAATTTGTCATGCTGGCAAGGAGGAAAACCTCAGAAGTTGTAAGAGTTTGCCATGGGGCAGCCTTCCTATTTCCTGCAGGACCACATCTGCTCTTAGAGCAATGAACATGGATGTAAGGAGGAGTCTGATGCACATCCATGCATTTACGTGTCAGGAAAATATTACTACATGCTTTTGCGAGCACTTTTTTTGGATCTGCGTGACTGTGTACAAAGAGAAGTGCTTGGTTCAGCACTGCTTATGCTGCACAGTTGGCTTACAAGCTTGCACTTCACTGGCTTATAAACAAAGCTGCTTTGAATTTTCTACATGTTTTTGTGCCTAAGTGTAGTGGTGTGTGTGATGAACAGAGCACAGACCCCTGGCAGTGCCCATCGGAGGGCCTGCTTGCTAGTTGTGCCCACCTGTACCAAAACACTCGGGTGTTGCAGGTGAGCTTTCATCCTCCTGAGCCAGCAGGCGTTGCTGAGGTTGGGAAAAACCAAAATGCGGTGTTGGGAATTTCAGAGGAAGACAGGCTTCGTAGCAGTGTGACTGATGGCAGGCAGCGGGATTAAATAACGCGCCGCCTCTGTTCTGGTGGTATTGGTGCCATTTGTCATCATTATCTGCACAGCTGACAGCTGCTCTTGTCAATGAGATGGATTCGTGTGACTGATGGGCTCTGCTGGAAGGGCTGGTGCTGCTGGGGTGGAGGTGTGCTGTTAGAAAGCAGCTTGAGCTGCCAGAGCTCTGGAGCCAGCATCGGGCTGTGCTGTGTGCACCCAGCGCTGTGCTCTGCTGTTCTGCACATTCAGCTCACACAGCCGGGAAGTGTTGTGCATGTAGGGACTCTTTGTTTTTTTTCTGATTTCTTTTTTTTCCACTAAATTGCACCTTAAACTGTATAAAATTGCAGGAGCTCATTTAGTTTCAAGAACGAGTGATGAATTTTGTGGTTCTGTCCTAAAAATATCAATGTACCTATAAGAAAATTCAACAACTGTGTCTTTCCAGGAGAAGTATTTTAAGGTTAGAGCTGTAGGAACATGCTTTCAGCACAGCATTTGCTTTCCTTAACTAGTTATTCTAGACTGTGAGGATAATGTAGGGCCAGAATTGCACCTTTCCATTCCTCCTCTTTGCTCTCCATGCTTCCACCTGCAATAAAAGATTTTCAGGGGCGCTGCTGTGCTGATGTTTGCTTTGTGGAAGCCATTCTGCAGCCAAGGATTGCTACAACTTTTGACCATAAAACTAAGTAATGATGCTGATTATTGGAAGAGTTGCTTAATTGCACATCCAGAAATGGGTTTGTCCTGAGGCAGGATTGCTGTCAGCAAACCTTGTAATTTGGAAACAGCTCCTATCACAGAACACCATCGCGTTAATAGAGAGGGACCATTGCGTTCTGCTTTAGTCTGCTAAGCAGCCTTTTACATGCTCAGTCCCAAAGGGACCTTGTGGCTTCTCAGGCTGAGACGAATGTTGTTAAAGTAACAATTAAGGTACTCTCTTGATTGTTTATGAAGTTCTGATGGAATTAATACAGGATATAGAAGCCTGTGAGTTCAGTCAGAATATTAAAGTGGCACAGTAAAATTAAACTTAAGGCAGCAAATGGGATATGTGGAATATTTTCTTTTGTGAGTTATTCTGATGCTATTGCAGTATTAACCTGGTGTGAAAATAACATCAAAAACTTAAAGGGATGGCAGAAATAAATAACATTAAGCTTTATCAGTTCATATATTGATTAAAATGCTGTAAGTATTGAGTAGAGTTGCATGCTTTTGAAAGGGTGGTTTGTTTTGTTGGCTGCTTCTGGGACCTTTATAACCCTTCCATCTCATTTCCATCCCTGCAGGCATTCAAGGCCAGGCTGGATGTGGCTCTGGGCAGCCTGGGCTGCTGGTTGGTGACCTGCACACAGCAGGGGGTTGGGACTGGATGAGCACTGTGGGCCTTTGCAGCCCAGGCCATTCTGTGATTTCTCATGACACTCATTGTGATGTTTGGATGTCCAGAGAAATCTCGCAAGCTGTCCTAAGGACAAGATCTTGTTCTTTAGAGTCCTCAAGAGATTTATCTAATTCTCTTGGAACACCCACGTGGAATACATCATGAGTGCCAAGATGAGATGACCTTGAGCAGGCTCTAAATTAAGGCTCTGACCTAAACCTGGAGTAACTAAACAAACTGAGCAGAAGCAGTTTTCTTTTTCAATAACATTACACTTCGAGTTGTTTTGTTTTTCAGATCTTTTAAATACTGAATGCACTTGTTATTCCAGTACTGTTCTTCCTGTGTGAAGAACTTTATAAAATACCAAGCAGTAACACTAATCTCGATATCTTCTATGTGGGATTTCTTTTTTCATAGACTGTCAAAGAATGTGCTTGCAGGAGTCTGTATTTAATAGAGTATTATGCTTAATCAATCCTGTTTTCTTTATAGAAAAGGCTACGAACGAACACAACACCAGTGAGGACTGGGGTCTTATTATGGACATATGTGACAAAGTTGGAAGTACTCCCAATGGGTAAGCTGTACTCGGCATCATGACAATGTGAATAATACTGCTTCAGAAGTAACACATCTCAAAACACTCCTTGTACTCAGCTACAGAAAGCACTACAGCTCCAGCACTTCTGTGAGCCCCACAGATGTGTGTGGTTGGCTTTAAAGTTCTTGGAGAGAAATATTCCAGCAGGATTTCCAGTAGAGCACTTGGTAGATGCTGAGTGTGTTCCAATTTTAGGAAGTTCTGCACAGTAGACCAAATTATTCATATTTAATAATCTTACATACGTTTTGCAGTATTTTTTTTTTGCCAGTAGGAAAACGTGAACTAGTTTCTTTGCAGGGAAAAAAGCACATAGAGCAGTTATGATGGGGAATTTGCTTATTCGTTAGGAAGAGTGGGATTGATGGAGGAGAAGAAAGGAGTAGAAATTGGGATCAGTACTCAGTTTTAATCGGTGTTTACCTTCTGTGGTAATACTGACACAAAAGTGGTAATTCGGTGATCTTATAATTGATAAAAGTTAAGGTGATCTTTCTGAGTTATAAAATGTTGTAGAATCTGTAGTCATCTTGACCTAGAACGTATCTTGAATTCCTAAATGATGGTAGATTTCTCTCTTTTTGTAACTTAGGTGTAATATTTAAGGTTACAACATTGAGAAAGTTCTTTATGCGTTCTGGAAAGAAAGAAGGATTATTGGCTACCCTTAAATGAGTACATACTTGAACAACAAGTACGTTGAACTTGTTGAAGGTCATGAATTACAGGCAGATGTACTCAATGTTAGAACTACACCTAAACTTCTCTGGCTGTGTGTACATCAGCAAGTAACTCAGCACACCAGGACTGCAGTGGTGGACCAGAGTAGCTGGTACAGAGGCCACCGCATCCATCCAGTGGAACATTTGGAGGTTTTCTTTCCCCTTCAGAACAGGTTTCATCAATTCTTCTGAACTGAATATCCACAATGACAGTGGTGCATGTGTTTCTTTGGCACCTGCTGCTGGATCTGACCCTGTGGCTTTCTGGGAGTCTGGAGTGCTTGTGTTGTGCACAGAGGAGCTTCTGGCACAGCTTCTTTCAACAGCAACCTAATTTTCCTGCTCAGAACTGTACTGTGAGCTGAGTGAGCACAAATAACACATGCATCAGCTCCTGTAGCCCTTATGTGCCTTTAGTGCTCATTTTCACGCATGCAGCTCCTTAGCAGAGTGACGTTTGAATTGTTAATTATTATTCAATACTTACCTCAAATTTTACTGAATCAGATTAAGAAATTGTGATGTATCTTAAGTGTCTTGAAAATGGGACCCAGGAGCCAACAACCTGTGAACATGGCTTTGAAATTCAATCTGTAGAGAGCCTTTATCGTAGCCAATTAAATAACCATTTAATCACTGCTGCCCTCTTGATTTAATTCTTTAATGTTGACATTTATTTCATTGTCTATTTCAAATCCATTTCCTCAGCTTAGTGGCGGCTGCTCTCTTTGTGACCTATTCTGTCACTTTTATGGAAATCAATATTGAATGCCAGCATAATAATGGAGTCTTCCAATCCAGTACACTTCTAAGAACAAGTGATGTGCTGGTATTCTTCCAAACCCGTTCTGCAAAAAGTATGGGTTAGGTTATGTTCTTTTTTTCAGCAGAGCCAGTTTTGTTTGTTTACCAGATATTTGTGTTCTGTGAAATCTGTTCTACAAAGTCATATTTGTCACTAGTACCTTCTTCTTCTTTTAGGGCAAAGGATTGCCTTAAAGCCATCATGAGGAGAGTAAATCATAAAGTTCCCCATGTGGCCCTGCAAGCACTTACAGTGAGTAGCCTATCACTATCTTCCAGAACTGCTGTGTTTCTTCATGTAAGGGTGTCCTGATCAGTCATAAGCTTCTATAGAAGTCAGATTTTCACTAGAAGTCAGTGAGGGTGTATGTGCTGAACAAAGGGTGACACTTAATTTTTCTGTATGCTTTTGTTTTGGATATTGTTGTCAGACATTTTTGTAACTGTGTTTCTGTTGTCAGCTTCTAGGAGCCTGTGTATCAAACTGTGGAAGAATATTTCACTTAGAAGTTTGTTCTCGTGATTTTGCTAGTGAAGCTCGAGGTATAATAAATAAGGTAATCTTTTATAACTTCAGCTAGTGGGGTAAAATTATTTTTATCACTGCTTTGCTTTCTCTCAGCACAATAATGGATTGGCAAAACAGACATTTGAGTTGATATGCTATGATGTTTAGTTCTGATGCAGTTGCAGATATTGCTGGCTGGTTGTCTCATCAGTGGAATTCGTGTGTTTTCATTTCTACTGTTAAGCAAATGAAGGCTGATACTTTCTATCAGCTCCCAAAAATTGCATGAGCAGTTTTAATTAAGATTTGTGACTCTACATTAGTTTGATCATAGTGAAGTAGTTTTCTTTGGAAAGTTATTTGGCTTTAATGAAATTCATAAGCTGAAGTGCACAAGGATAACTGAAAACTATACTTGGACACAGAAAAGAGGAAGACATCAGACAGCTCTCTTAGTTTCTAGAGATTATAAGAACGCTGAATGAGGAGGTTATCAAGAAAGGAAGACCGAAATGGTGCAGCTGATGGGATCTAAATCCAGATATAATGAATTGAATAAGCAGAAGCAGCTTTCCCATAATTATTGCTCCAGTTGAAGACAAAAATGGCTAAAGAAGATAGACTTCAAGTATATGGGAGGCCTGAAAACATCAGAGGTTGAGCAAAGCAATTAAGGAAACTTAATAAAATTGCTGGGAAGCAAAATGAGTTCACAGCTCTTCTGTTTCTCCCTTTCTGTGGAAAAATAGGTCTTGAAGTCCTCCCCTTCATTCTCATTAGCCACAGTCCATGCTGAAATAGAACATTGACCTTCATGGACTGACAGTGCTTGTGAATGTAAAAGCAAACCTTAAATCCCACTGAAGAATTGCCCACAGGAGCATAATGTATTTTGTTGTTGGGAAATACTTGTGTTTTCCTCTGTCCCTGACCCATTTGTGGAAATAATCATCAGAGGGCCTGTGAAATTTATGCTTTCTCCCTTTTCTCTGAAAAAAAATTAGTTCAGACAAGTGTAACAAATACCTTTGTGCTGATAATGAACCTACTGGGCTGAATGTCTTCTTTCAAATAAATGCCAGCTTGAGCCCAAACTTGTTGCTGTTCTTGCTGCTCAGCATGTGTTTGGCTGTGAGCCACAGGCTTTTCCTGTGACTTGAAGTGCACTCTAATGGGAAGTCGGGGCCGTACACCACAGCTGTGTGGTCCCAAGCTCTGTATCTTCTTAACTTGCCTTGTACAGATGAGGTGGCCCACCAGCTCCAAAAATCTTATTCATCAGCCTGTGGTTAGTTTGCTTACTTTGGGTTTAGGCAATAGTCTTTTCATTAGCTGGAAACAAAAGCAGAAAGTGTTTGGAGTCTGAAGTGCTTTGGGCTGTGTTTGACCCTTGTAGTGCTGGCATAGCCATCACATGTAGTAGCTGCTGCAATGAAGAGTCAGACTTGTTGCTGTTGTGTTTTTAAGACCATTATGAGATTAGCAGCAGCTCCAGTGCAGTGTTGCTGAGGTATGCTCAGAAGTGTGTCCTTTAGCCATATCACAGTGATGCATGGCTGACTTCTGCAGGTGGGTTATCTCTTGGCATGAGGTTATTAACATGTAAAATTTGCATATATATATTTAGGTTGTTTTCAATTCTCATTTTGTTCAAGACAGTTACGGATATTTATAGTAAAATGGTTTTGGTAACAATGTTTGAAAACTATTCCTGCTCACTTTAAAGCATAAGCATCCCTTTCTATGCAATTTTGTCTTCTAGGCTCATCCAAAAGTCAGTGAGAAGCTGAAAACTCTAATGGTGGAGTGGTCAGAAGAATTTCAGAAAGACCCACAGTGTAGCTTAATATCTGCAACTATTAAATCTTTAAAAGAAGAAGGTGTCACTTTTCCTGCAGCTGGATCACAGGTGAAAGCTCAATTAGGAATACACAGTTCTCCTGTTAGACCTCTGTCAGTGAACAGCAGGAAGAAACCATGCATGGACCTTTTGATCAGAGGGAAGTAGGACCCTTGTTATAGTCTGGTTGCCTCCTGACACTAAGGTTTATTTCATTCTACTTCTTAATTTCCTTGCCCACTGAGGAAAAGTGAGAACAGACTAAAGGTTATTTCTTACTGTCTTTGAATTGTTTCATTTTAGATCTGTCTTTCCTTCAGATCAACATTTTTTTTAGAGTTTCATCAACCTGTCATACCTCAAAAATCAAAGCAGTCCTACACCCACCCCTTGTACTTGGTGTTTCATGGTTCTGATGGCTGACTTGGAGCACGTTTCTTTGTTGTTTTTTCCTTCACAGAGCCTTGCAAAACAATTGGCAGTATCTGAAAGTGAGACATTTTATTTGGAAATGATGTTCTGTGCTATGCTTTCCTTTCTCAGTCCCCATTTCTTGTTTGTGTTTTTTTGTCCATGTCAGGAGTTGCCCATCTCTGCAGTGATGGGTGCTCCAGTCCCTGACCTCACTTGCTCTTTTTATTTTACTTGTGGCATGCTGTGTCTGATCATCCAGCTGGCAGTAATGGTGACAAGTTTTCTTTTTTTTAATGCTTTATTATTTAAGCTTCTAAATATTATCTTCAAAATGAGTTTGGTGAAGAACAGTCCTTAAAATCAGAAGCATACCTTCAGTTACGTATCCCTTCCATGAAGTTCACATTTCTATGTATTAAACACAGGTGGTGGATTTTTTGTGTGCTGTTTTTTTTTTTAAATTCTACAATCTTTCCTTCCTCCACAAAGATGTTTTCACCTCTAAATCTAGGATAAGTGTTAAAACATATGGCAGAAACATGGAAGATGGAGAGTGCTGGCAACCAGTTATGCTTTCTTCCTACAGATGCACATAAAAATGACATCTTGATGTCTCTGCATCATACGCTTCACTGCAAAAAAAACAAAGCTGAGGGTTATTAGTGTAGTTGTACAGAATTGGTTCCTAGAACCATCGATAATCCCAGTATCTGGAACTGGTTTGTTTGTTCCTGCACAAAGATGCCCTGTTGAAGTGAAGGGTTTCATTATGCTCTTGTGGAGACTCAGATTATTCAAGTCAGAAGCTCTCAATTTGATAGACATGTGCTCTTCATTCTCACTCTTCCAAAAACAGAGGAGGAGGGTAGCTATTAGCTGTCATGTGGAGAGAAATCTCCTTTTAGCAAGTCCACCTCCTGGTTAATAACTCAACTTCACAAACGTGGGACTGCAGAGAGCTTTTCTTCCCTTTTGAGGGGTGAGGTGGAGGACAAAGGTGGGAAGTCTTTTAAATGTGAGTTGTTTCATCTAAGTAATGCTACCAACATTGTTATTTAAATGAAATCCTTAAATAAATGAGATCTGATTATTTATTTTACTTTGTTCCTTTCTGAAAACTAAATGTGGATGAGATTCCACAGTGAAGTAATTTTTCTCTTGTAGAAAATCATCCTGGGTCAGTTCTGAAATGCTCAAAATAGGCAGCTAACAGGGAACAGCTTCTTACTAATTTTTTTAAGTATATAATTATAGAGCTTTCTTCCCCCTTTGTTAACGTGAAGTTATTCTATTGTTAATACATTTGCAGGCTACCACAAATGCTGCTAAGAATGGTTCTTCATCGAGCAAAAACAAAGAGGATGAAGATATAGCTAAAGGTAAATTACTAGTCACAGCCTTGTGTTTGACTTGTGCTCTGGGTTGTTAGGCCAAAATGCATAGAAATATGAAGCTGGACTTTATTCTGCTGCATGGAATCGAAAGCAAGGGCTCAGCAGGCTGAGGATTGAAGTTTGGTTTTGAAATGTTTCTTGTGCACTTTTGTGCACTTGTCTTTTAATTCTATTGCAGTGCAGAGTAAAGCTGTCATAATATAAAACATCAGTTGTAGTTTGGAGCAAACAAAGATTTTAAACTTGCACAGACCATAATGCTAAAATATGTATTTCTTCTGGTTAGGAAAGCAAAAAACCTTTCTATAGAGGGATAAAATACGTAGACTTAACTGCTTGTTTTTTCCCCCTCCTCGTTGTAGCTATTGAATTGTCCTTACAAGAGCAGAAGCAGCAACAAATGGAGACCAAATCCTTGTACCCCTCCGCAGATGTGCAGCAAACCAATCAGAACCTGAGGAAGGTGCGAGCTCTCTATGACTTTGAAGCTGTCGAGGACAATGAGCTCACCTTTAAAAGTGGAGAGATTATTTTTGTTTTGGATGACAGGTACAATACACTCAGATGAAGGTGTTGTAATTCTGCAACTGTGTTAGGCTAGCAATTTTTTCCCCTGAGGGTTTCTTTTCCACAGGTGTGTATTGTCACTCTGGCCTTCTTCACATCCCCTAATCATCCACTATTCTTTACATACGTTTTCCTGAATTATTTTATCCCTTAAAAACATTCTGAATCTTGCTTTCCTGCAGAGCCTTCCTTGCCCTCCTTCCCTAGTTCATGTATTTCTCCAGTGATTGGATGTTTCTTTACCTCTGTGTGTTCCTTTAGGCACTCGTTGGTGTAGGTCCAACTTGTAATTTTTATGTTAATTGATTATAACATGTCGTAAGAATATATGTACACACATTACAGTGCTGAATTCTAGCTAGTTCCAGAAACTGTGAGATCTCTGCCTATCAAGCATTGCATGTATTAGGAATAAAACTGAAGAAAAATGCTTCAGTAATTACTGTTAACTGTTGTCACTGTTCCTCCAGCGATAGCTAAGGAGTAGAACTTGCTTGTGCTGCTCTAATTTAATAGACTTTGACAGATCGATTATTTCTAATGTTAGTCCTCACTTGTGTACCTCTTGTAAGCTCTGAGGTGAATGGGCTGTCATCTAGTGAGTGTAAAGAACTGTGCCTTAAACTTGAATTGGTTGATCATCTCCTCCACAACCCATTCCCAGCTCCTGGCTTTGGGTTTGCTGCTGTACTAATCTGTACCTGGGCTCTCTTCTGCCACTGTTTTTGGGCATGCAGGGAAGAAGTGCCTTAGATATCAAGGTTTCCTATCAAAGCACAAAATGTCATTGATGCTGAGCGTTAATGTTACAAGTTTGTAACACAGCTCTGTCTCCCCAGTGACACCAATTGGTGGAAGGGTGAAAACCATCGAGGTGTGGGACTGTTTCCATCTAATTTTGTGACTTCTGATTTAAATGTTGAACCTGAGGCAGGTAAGTTAGCTACTGAAAGCTAACCTGTTACATTAGAAATGTGGATTTATGGTGGAACTGCTGATTGGCTCATAAATCAGCATAACTTCCTGATACCAGCCAGAGAAAAGAATTGAGGGAGAAATCCTGAAGTTGTGTCAAACCAGCAAGCAACTGTTTAGCTCTGCTGTAGCTTGCTTTCATGGCATCTTTTGGTTCTAAGCTGTTACTTTCTTCTTGTGGTACTGGGCACATCCTTATGTAAGAATAAGGTATTACTTCCCTAGCAGATAGTTGTGGTCCCAACTTAAAGTACTTACTCAAATTTCTGTGATATTTAAAAGTTTGGTGCTGAGTGGGTGGAAAAATAATAATAGCAGGTAGCATAAAGCTAACAGAGTTTCTTTTCTGCTGATGTGTTACTCTTGGTTCTTCTTTTAGCAACTGTAGATAAAAACTGTGTTCCTGAGGATGCTACAGAAGAAGTTAAGAAAGCAGAACCTGAGCCAGTTTATATAGATGAGGTATGCAGTCACTTCAATATACAAAAGTGCTGATATTTTAAATTGTTTAAAACGTTATTTTGATAGTGACTGTTCAAAGGTAACTATTTTATATAAGACTTTTAATTTGAAGATGAAAAGGCTCTCTGTGCCACGCTTTGGAAATAGCTGTCCTTAATCTTCTCTTCCACCTTTCAGGATAAGATGGATAAAACGCTGCAGGTGCTTCAGAGTATAGATCCTACAGACCTGAATCTTGATTCAGATCTTCTAGACTCAGAAGGTACTTTGAGCACCGAGTTTGCTAGCTCTTGTGTTGCTTCCTATGATTACTTTCCATGGATTGAGTTGGTAATTCTTTTGTATTTATTTTAAGCACAAAGAAACCAGGGTGTGTATTATTGGTGTGCTGTAGAGTGGTTAATTTCACAGTTGGAGCATGGAGCTATATGTATGCCTCTGCATTTTCTCATAGTTGCCAAGCCAACTCCGTGTTTAACCAAGCAATTTGCTTTACTTCTAGTGAGAGTGCTTTGCCTGATCCTTGCAGGATTTATCCACCTATCTAAGCTCTAGAAAATAAACTATTGTATATTAAAAATATATTGTATATAAGAAAGTACAGCTTGCTAAGGGGGAAGGGGGAGTTCTGTTCATTTATGATCAGCTCAGTTCGAAGCATATAGGAGTAACTAAGTGTACTTCCGGGGGGGGAAAAGGTGGGAGGACAATCTGGGGAGATTCATAGGCAGTCCAGGGATTCCAGTAAGAGGTAAGTCATAGACCTTGTGTGTGGCAAGCAGAAATGCAGAACTTTGTGTAACTTTCATCAGTAGTTTTTTGTTTGGAGAGGGAGAGACAATGAAGGATGACAAAGCAGAATAAGCAAAGTATTTTCCTTCTTTGTTTGGGGTGGAGGATTTGGACTGCCGTGACAACTAGATCCACCCTCTAATTTTGGATGCTTTCTTAGTGTAGCTGGATAAAGTATTTTTTGGTTACGTTTTAAAATCAGTTGTGCAGGATGTTAACTGCTTTGGCTCTTTTGTCTCTACAGTTATTTGTCAGCAGATGGGTCCACTGATAGATGAAAAACTGGAAGAGATAGATAGGTGAGTCATAATGTATCTGCATAATGTACCAATACTTCAAGTCGTGCCACTGTATTCATTTTCCTCTATACTCTCCTTCATCTCCCAAGGTAGGAAGTGTTGCAACAATTACCATTCTGCCTGTTGGTGTTTGACACCTAGATACAGAAGCCCTGTTTGTGTACTGAGGCTTGACTGCTGCTCTCCTGACTTTCTGCACAAGCTACTGGGTGCATTCTGTATTAGCACTTACTGCTTGTAGGCTTTTGCAGTCTGTCTAGATGTTCTCAGTCTGCTGTTCACTGTCCTCTGTGCAAGAAAAATTGGTCAAACAGCACCTTCCCCCTTTTCCCTCAAACTCTATAAGGAATATTTAATGATGAAAAGGTAATTGCTGCTTTATTATGACTAGGGAAGGATTGTTGTTCACCTTTTTGACCTTTCTTCCATTGCAGTGGTGTAAGAAGCAGAGTAGGTTCTGGAAGTTTTGCAGTACAGACGTGTCAGAAATCTGCCATCTACCTTTGAAGATTTTTTTTCTCTTATACTCAAATCCCTTTAATGAATCACTCCTGTGTTACTATCTGACACTAGATGTTGAAGAAACTTAGTGTTTGCATGTATTTATTTTGAAACAGAAAACATTCCGAATTATCTGAACTGAATGTGAAAGTTCTAGAAGCTCTGGAGCTCTATAACAAACTGATGAATGAAACACCGATGTATTCAGCCTACTCCAAACTCCACCATCCTGCACAATACCCTCCTACATCTTCTGGTGTTTCAGTGCAGGTCAGTATCCCTGTCTGGAAATAGAGACTTTCCTAATATAGTTTTCTATTTAAAAAGATGACAGCAAAAATGAAGAAGTGTAGACTTCCTGCTAGCCTACGAACCATCTGACATTGCCTGGTGACTTTCTGTAGCTTTCAGAATAAAATAGCATTCAAGCAGTTGAACAGAGTATTTTAATTTGCAGTTAGTAGCTCATGCAATAAGCTATAGATCTTAACTTTACTCTCCAATTAGAAAGATGCTTTATTGAGAATACTGAAACGATTCTTTCTGTGATTTTCCCCCAACCCCCCATTAGAATTCTGTGTTTCAGGGTCGTTCAGCAGCTTGGAGGATATTCTTGCTCTGAGTCATGTTCTCACTCTTAAAGTAATGTTGCCTTCTTATCTAATAGGGATGTGAGTGAACTTTGATATTAGTGCATTAATCACGAGTGCAGTGCACTTTTGCTAAGTATAAAAACCTTAATCTGGTTTTAGCTGTGGATTTCCTAAGGCAGGGGGTTGGGAAGGCTATTACATTAGTGGGTGTAGTTGCACAAAATTGATTTTCAGTATCTCTAGGGTGCTACATTGGTGTTCTGAGAAAACAAAGATGGAGAAGAAAGAGGGATTTTAAAGATCTTTTTTTACAGGAAGCTTAGAATGACTGGTTTTACTTCTAGTGAATTTTATTTAATGTTAATTGTTCCCTGGGAAAAGAATAGTTGCTATAGCAACTGCTAGATCTGAAAATGTCAGTTTAAAGTAATTCTGTGTCCTTAACTTCTGGTTATGGTGGAAAATATCGTTATATTTGGAGGTTAAGAAGTAACTGAAGCCAAAAGGCAACAGGAGGTTACTACTTCTTTCAAGGCAAATGCACCCAGCAGTGAAAAATAGAAGATAATGGTATCTGTGCTGGGCCTAATATTGACACACACTTGTGTACCTTCAGTGTCAGTACACAGCCATACCAAGTTCAAAAGCAGTGAGCAGTATAGCCTTGTGTTAGCAAGTTTTCCCACTTGTTTCACCAGTTTTGAGTGAAGGCTTAGCTTAAACCAGAAATACAAGAAGCTGAAGTTCTTGCTTTCCTTCTGTTGTAGTCTGAGACTGTTCTTAAGTTTTGCAAAATGTATAAAATAACAAACCTTGTATGGTGCTTGGCTCCCCACTCAGCCATGTTTGTGCATCAAAATGTGCTGAGAATTGGAAAAGACCAGGCAAACGGGTGAAAAAGAAAGAAGGTTTCTGGGAGGTGCAGAGTTGGCGTGTTGAGCAAACAGGTTGTTCTCTCAGATAAGGAACCACAGAGCTTGTGAGCAGTGCGTTTTTGAAAGAGATGCCTGTGATGGAATAAAGGATGCCTGTTACAAACCTGTGCGTGTGTTAGAAGTTGTATGTTTTGTTATTAAAACCATGTTAGGAAAATAAATTCAGAATCAGTTCGTTTGGACTCTGAACCCCAAAGTATTTGTTCATTGTAGTTGTATTCTGTGCTACATTTACTGCTAGTTAAATAAAAGGTATACCTTTCTTTTATTTTTATTATTTAGTCGTATCCTGTACAGCCACCTAGTGGGAACTACATGATCCAAGGTGTTCACCAAGTCACCGTTTCCCAAGGTTATGGCCTAGGACCTGATCAGATGGGGCAGCTCAGGTCTCTGCCTCAAAGTATCAATTCTTCTGGAGCAACTCAGCCTGTACAAACTGCTTATTTAAGGTATCGGTCACTTCAGCAAACTCTTATGTTACTCTTTGCATAGAATTGCAGGATGGGTTGGGTTGGAAGGCACTTTAAAGACCATCTGGCACCGATCCCCTGCCATGGGCAAGGGGAGCTGTCAGCAGGCCAGGCTGCCCAGGGCCCTGTGCGTGGTGTGCAGCACCTCAGGAGACAGAGCACCCCCAGCTATGGTCAGCAGTGCTGTGGCCTCACCACCCTCACAGAGGCTGTGACTGTGGGGTGTTTACAGTGATGTGCAAATCTGCTTTACCTCTTTGGAAACGTACAGAAAGCTTTGGGACTAAGAAAAAATGCTTATCAGAGAACCAGATGTGAGCTTGTCTTGTTTTGTTACAGCCCAGGACCAGACTCTGTGTTAAACCAGACGTTTGTGACCCAGAGCCCCGGCCTCCCCACAGCTGCCAGCACAGCAGTGTACAGCCAGCAGCAGATGGGCTCGGTGGATATGGCAGCTTACCAGAGTAACACATCGAGTTTGCCTCAAGGACCGGGTTATCCCATGGCAGTTCCTCCTCATTCCGTTCTACAGCAACAAACCAACTACCATCAACAGCCTCTCCTTTAAAAACAGACCAGGCTTGTTTCCAAAATAACGAAGAGAGATTGCTGAATCTAATGGTTTTGATTAATACCTGTCACAGATATCAAAATACATTTTCCTTTAAAGTAACCCAACTTAGGGTGATGCTGAGTAACAGTATGCATCGGATCTGATTGTTAATCATTTCCTTAATGATAGTTTGAACTACGTGAGCTAATGATTTAAAATGATTTCAGATTGCTTTGAGCCCTTGTTTCAGTGGTTTCAAGAAATGCCATTTGTGTGTCTGAATTCAAGTTAAAAAAAAGCATCCAAAATTAGTTTTATGTGTTTCTAGAAATGTGAGGATGCAAAGGCACTGTTCTGTGTTGCTCTCGTTACGCATCGTCTCCTCTGGTGTCTCACTGTAAGCTTTCCATCCAAGTAGCTTTACAGAGCTCTCCTCTGCTGATTCAGACATCTCCTCTCCGCGCTGCCGTGGTGAGCTTTACAGTATGGTGTGTGCTGCATCATTGGAACAGCTGCACAAGTGAAGCAGATGAGAGCTGGAAGAGAAAATGATTTGATACTGTGACAGAGAACCACGTACCTACAGAAATAGGAGAAATGGCGTTGTTATAGTGCTGCCTATTAGATTTTGGGAAGCTGCAGCTCCTGATGTGTTTCTCTTGAAAGGAACTGTGGGAATGGGGCAGTTGATGCTTGAACTCTCTAGTGGCTTTGGGCACAGGAGGTTCAGCAAGCACACATTGCCTTTGCACAAGCACGCAAGGGATGCTCCCAGCAGCCTGTGTGGGTACTCGGGATACAAGGTGCTGTGCCAGGAACTTGCACAGAATAGATTTTCTTTTCCTTTGTTGTTGTTGTTGTTGTTGTATGTAGAAGTGAAGGAGAAGTGTAGTTCTGTGTGGTGACAGGAAGGACTCCAGAATGTTTGACGCTTAGGACTGTGGGGCTCTGCCTTTGTTCCATTTCCAGTGGGGAGGCAAGTGGAAAAGCAGTTGTCCAGACCAGAGGGTTCTTTCCTCTATAGGATTTCCTTTTGTTGCCACCGTTCCTGTGTCTAAATAAACACTGGGTACAGTCAGAGAGAAACTCTTAAACCAGGTGAAAGAAGCCTGCTTAACACACTACGTATGGGCAGCAATGGGATTGTGCTCCTCACCTAACAGCAGGAATCCTTGCATATTGAAAATGAGAGATGTGTCTGTGGAAAAGAAATTGCCTTGGAACTGTGGAAGTGTCGCATTTGGTGGCTAGGAGAAGAAATGTAAGGATTCCTTCCCTGATGCACTTTTTAATGGGTGGGTTCTTTTTCCTTTTACAAGAGGAACAGGTGAGTTATCCTCCAGGAATGTGGGATTTTTTTCTTTTACTGTTTCAGCCTTGGAAAACAAAAATCACTTAATTCTCCTGTTTACCCACTCACCTTAGCAGTTATATTTATACATATTTTAACATTATTATGATGAGTAATAATCTTTACATTAGGAAAATAAGGCAAGGAAATAAGTGATGAAGCATTTTGTTAAATACATAAAACTCCAAATGTGTCTCAACAAGCACATCTGGTATGAAATCTTTCTACCAAATGAGAGCAATCAGACTGCAGGCTGTGGCTGAATATTGCACCACCCTTCACTGGTTGCCACCTTCATTTCTTTTGCATTTTATGTCATTCTTCAGTACCAGGATGTTACTCACTTGCAGCCTTGTGCTTATGGAATGAATGAGGTATTCAGTACTTGCTCTTTCAATCACCTTTGTTTCAATTTGTGCAATTAGAAGGAAGCTGTCTTTCCTTTTGATGGGACTTTGTCTGTATCCTTCCCTCTGAAGTAGCTTAGTGTAAATGACACTTGTTGCAATACTGAAGTATTTTGGTAACTTTTTCCTCACCTTTGTTAAGAAGAATAATAATTAATTTCAATGCTGCTGTTCAAAATTCTTCTTGTTTTGAGATTTTTTTGGTAAGGGTTTACTTTGTTCCAAATTGGTGTGTAATCCAACTGAACCGTGCTGTAATTTATGTGGTTACTCTGTGTTTATCAGTAAATGAGAGGAAAGGGTGGGTGATCTGATTGGATTCCAAACGTTGATCCAGCAGAACCGTCGAGGATATTAATTGGAGATGGCCGGATCACTTTAGTTAATTATTTTGTGGGATATAAATAATGTACATACTCATTTGTCTGAGATTTTCTACACAGCTACGTATATGCATACTGTTAAAGCCTGGAATTTTATAAAGGCCAGATTTGTGATTGTCGTCTCTTATATTCCAAATCCTGTGATATGCAACTTGTAGATAGTGTACAATAATTGAATTATGATTATAACAGTGTCTCTAGAGGGCTTTGGTGGTGTTTTTTCCTCTGTGTACTTCTGTACTTTATCATATTTATTTTTTAGGCCTCATTGTAACTGAACATGCTGCCAAAGGATTTATCTAACTTTGGATTTCTACGTTAGGTTTATACCTGCTGTTTTGTATCAGGAATCAGTGGTAGAGAAGTTCAGCTCTTTCATATAAACCCTCAATGGCTAACATAGAAATCGGTGCGACTTTATAATGAGAATTTTCTTGTGATAGGTTTGTGCCATGGATGTTGAGAACGTCCGTACTGGATGCATTTTCTTCTAGTATGAATTGGCAACCATGTCTAAGTTACAGTCAGCTGAGAGCAGCAGTTCCATTTGCCTGCAGTATCACCATGCAGAGGTGTGCTTTGCTGCCATTTTGTTAGGGCCTTCACGCGGCACACGCGTTGTCTGTTTAATTTGGTATGAGATTACAATCTTAAGAAGTCGTTTCTGTAGCAGGTAGGCCTTAAAGTATCGTCCTGTGTTCGTTCAGCTTTCGTTCATAGATGTCCATAGGCATGTGGAGTGGTGACTCTTTTGCAGGCTGTCCTTCAGAAAGGAGTGGCTGAGCGGAGCATGGCTGCAATCTCTTTCAGTAATTATCTTCTGATAGGAAAATCGATGTCTTATTTTTATCTATGCATCTTTTCTAAGAAATAACAGGCACTACTCTTGCTGACATGGAGCACTGTGACAGAACTGTTGAATAAATAACTTTTTAGAACTCCTGGCTTTTACCAGTTCAATTCTACGTGAAGCTGACAAACTCTTGAGTCAACAAAAAAGAGAAGCGAAGGAAAAGAAACAGAGAGAAGGGGCAGTTTGGGTGATCTGAGAGCTGTGCTGGCCCCAGCACGGCACACCTGGGCTTGGACTCTGGTTCTGTTTGGCTTGTGGCTCAAGGTGGATATGTGCTTGTTAATTGAAGTTAATTGAAGTATCACCGTTCTTAGAGAAAAATTACCATAGAGTTTGCAGTATTAGGAATAGGGGATCTGTTTGGATGGAACATTTGGCCTCTCATCTGCAATATGTGTGCGTTGCCTTGTGTGAATAAACAAAGTTTATTTAACAAATGGGTGAAAAGTCTTCTGTTTGCAACACAGGTAAATCCTTGCCAGAAGGATGGGGCAGGAGAGCAGCTGTGGGCAGCCTGCTGTGGGAACCTGACTGCTGCAGCCCTCCCTGCCTGCCTCCCTGTGTTCCTGTGTGCTGCAGCACAGGGAGCGAGCAGCTCAACTTCATAGCCATGCTGATGAGCTGCTCTTATTGGGAATCACTGCTTGTTACCTTCAGTTGAATATAAGGTAGACTTGGGGTGCTGGAGAACCTTGCTGTGCACCGGTTGTTAACCAATAAATTGCAAACCAACATGGGAAATAGAAGAGAATGATCTCAGAGAAAAAGGTAATACACTGATTATACAGAAAACAAATATCCTGCTCTAAAGTGTGATTGAATTGCACATCCTAAGAAGGAACTATAACCGCTTAGTGCTTATTAGAGCTTTTCAGGGAAACAAATGAACCAGAAAGCAATTTGTAACTCAAAGTAAGAGTAAATCCTTGTACTGTGGAGATGCCTTCTGCCAAAGCTGTGAGTGGACGTTAAAACAGTCTGCAGGGAGCATAGTGCACCTGGGACTTGTGCTGTTAGTAGGCAGCAATTACTGCACTGCATCATTTCCTTACAGCCCCTTCTGGAGTCACTGGCCCTGCTGGGCTGGTTTCAGGTCAATTCAGGCTACAAATGTGAATTGTACAAAGCCAATGGAATGGGTCCAGAGGAGGGCCACTGGGATGGTCGGAGGGCTGGAGCACCTCTCCTATGAGAAAAGGTTGAGGGAACTGGGCTTGTTTAGCCTAGAAAAGAGAAAGCTGCAGGGAGACCTCATGGTGGCCTTCCAGTATTTGAAGGGAATGTAGAAACAGGAGGGGGAACGGCTGTTTGTGAGGGTGGACAGTGATAGGACAAGGGGAATGGTTTTAAACCGAGACGGGGGAGGTTTAGGCTGGATATGAGGAGGAAGTTTTTCACACACAGGGTGGTGAGGCACTGGCACAGGCTGCCCAAGGAGGCTGTGGATGCCCCATCCCTGCAGGCATTCAAGGCCAGGCTGGATGTGGCTCTGGGTGACCCTGCACACAGCAGGGGGTTGGAACTGGGTGAGCACTGTGCTCCTTTGCAACCCAGGCCATTCTGTGATTCATTTTCTGGACAGTATCTTGGGAGGTCAGCCACACTTACTGAGCAATGCTTAAAGCATCCTTGCTAGAACCAATTTAGTGATTTAAGCGAATTCAGAAATAATGTTAATTTAGTCCTCAACATCCCTGACCCACATCCGTGTTTGATGAAGAAACCAGGCTGCCTCATTTCATCCAAGGACTTAAAAAAGCCACCTCTGGCGTGAGAGGAAGAGCGGCATTCAGCCCGTCGTGCTTCGGGCCCTCAACGGGCTGTGCTCGTTCTGCACGGAGCCCGCGGTGCAGCTCCGTGAGTGCGCTGCTGCCGTGAGGGTCCCAGCGGGTGCCTGGGGAAAGCGATCGTAACCTCTGAATGGAAACAAACTCATTACCGTGCTGGAGAAGTTTGGGTGCTGCTCCCAGCTTCTCGCTTGCTGCCTTTCCTGGCTGCTCGGAAGCTTTTTTTCCAAGCCAGCTGTGTCCCAAACCTCCCGCTGCAGCGGTGTGTTCTCGTCCATCTCCGTGCGAGGCGCGGTACGGCACGGCAGCGGGAAACGGGGAATCCAGCTCCCACTCCCCAGCTTTCCAGTTGGACAGCAGACGGCTCGCTTCACCTCTCGGTTTATCTTTGTCTCCTGAAAGCGCGAACGGGAGCTGCCGCCGCTCGCACCAATGGGCCCGCAGCTCCTCGTAGGGATCTCGAAGCGGGGCTCGCGCCCCTCCCCGAGGAGCCGCGCCGAGGAGCGCCGAGTTGGCCGCCGGCTGTCCGGCTGGGACGCGGGACCGAGCCGCGCCGATCTCTCCCCCCTCGCCTCCCCGGCACCGCCTCGGGGCCGCCCCGCGCCTCCCAGGTGCCGCCGCCCCCCGCCCCGCTCCTCCTTCTCCCCTCCCTCCGCCCTCTCCCTTCGCTCCCCGCACTCTCTCCCCGGCAGCGCTGAGGTTCGGGGCCGCCGCCGATCCTCGCCGTTATGGCCGCGGTGGGTGCAGCTGCGGGGGGCGGCGGGGCGGGCGGGGAGGGAGGCACGCGACCTTCACGTCTCCGCTTTCCCCGGCGCAGGTGACGAGGGGCACGGCCACGCGCCGCAGCCGGCTGAAGCGCTCGGACGGCAGCACCACCTCCACCAGCTTCATCCTGCGGCAGGTGAGGGGCGATGGAGGCGGGGGGCGGCGTTTCCAACCGGGGGAGCGGAGCCGACCGAGCCGGGCCGGGCCGCGTCCGCGCGTTGCCGTCGTCTTGGGTGGGGGGGACGGCGTGTGCGAGCGGCGGTGCCCCGGGGGCGGCTCCCGTGGGGCCGAAGGCCTCGGAAGCGGCTCTGTGCTGCGCGGTGTCGGAGCGTCGCTCGCTTTGCAAGTCCGAGAGGTGAAACGTTTCTCGAAGCGTGAGGCCGCGCTCGTGCTGTGCCGTGAGCCGCCCGGCCCCGCTTCACGGGAGAGGGGGAAGCGCTGCACGTGGAGCTGCTGAGCCTCGGAGCGAGGAGGGACGCGAGGTTGGCTTTCACGGCGTCCAACGCCTCGTCTGCGACCGGAGTGCGTCGAAAGGTCGCCGGCACTTTGAGCTTAGGACGCACCGCTGTCAGAACTGCGCGGAGACCACGAGCGGCTCGCGCTGTGCTCCTGCAGGGAGGGAGGCGGCGTTGTGTGAGGGCTGTTCCGTGCCCAGGAGCCGCCGTGGCTTCCAGGGCTCCGAGCTCAGCGCTTCAGGTCCCGGTGTGCACGCCGTGCTCAGCCCGTGCACGTGGCAGCGTCGGGCTCGCGTAGCAGTGTGTGTCTGTGTGAAAATACACCGGTAGGTCAGAAGGAGGGCAGCTGTGATCCTGAACTTCAGTCCTGGAAAAATGACGGCTTGCTTGTTTTAGTCGCTTTCTAAGATGACTTTTCAGCCCGCAGAGATTTGGGCAGCGCTGCCCCTCGGTGTCCCTGCAGCCCTGCGAAGCAGGCAGGCGCAGTAGTGCTCTTAGCGGGATCTGTAGGAAGATCTCGTTGGGATTGTGTGAGCTGCACACCGAAAATAACTGCTGGGCTCCCTCCCACCTCCGTGCCGAGGGAGCAGAGCGGAGGAGCTGCCTCCAAGGAGCGCTCAGGTAAGGTCACAGCAGCTCTCCCTGTGTGTTGAACAGCAGGCTCCTCTCCAAGCAGCAGTTCCACTCCTCACAGCCACGTGCAGCTGCTCTGTAGTGCAGGAGCCCTTTGCATCCCGTGTTCTTGCTGTGGGATTTCAGCTGTGTGCCGAACAGTCCCAGCTGAGCTGTGTGTGCTGTCCGTGTGCGGTTCCTCTGCTAACAGCCCGGCTTTGGGGGCATGGGGGGAAAAGTGTCCTAACAGGGATTGCCTTCAAGTAATGCTCTGCTGTATGCATGTATTGTTTCCCTTAAAGAGAAGGACAATTCAGTGGGAACTGTTAATATCTCTTGAAGACTTTCAGTCTGTTTTGGATCTTGCATGTTTTGAGCTGTGACTTAGTTTTACGCTACCAAAGGAAGTTCTGTCGTCACTTTCCTTTTGCATAAAGGGACAGATGCACGAATCCCCCAGGCTTAAACTCTCTACACAACTTTTCTTTATGTTGTGTTTAATTACTGGTTTAAGTTCATCAGTAAGTTTAATTTACAAGAGGATAATTGCGTGGACAAGCTTGTGAGTTGGCACTGCTGTCAGCACCACGTGGCAGTATCACGGGTGTCACTTTGAGCTGTGTGTGTCAGCGGTGGCAGAGCTGTGGGCCTCCAGCACTGGGCTTCATCAGCCCCACACAGAAGCAGGGTTACGTGTGATGTGTATAGGATGCCTCTTGTGAATGAGGACAGAAAGGACCTTTTTGGACTTGGAAGGCAGCGCAGTAAGTGTGGATATCTGGCAGTGCCTACATGCTGGCACTGCGGCTCTGGGCAGTGTGTGATGTGTGGCCAGCTCCAGGGCCACACAGTGTAAGGATCCATGGGGGGAAGTGTGGAAGTCACATCGTGCCACCAGTAACCATCAGTTCAAGTGCAGATTCGTTGGCAGTCCTGGAGCAGTGGCCCAGAGCTGGGGCTGTTCTGTGGGCCCTGAACAAGGCTGGCTGTGCAACACCACTCCTCTGACAGCCGTGCTGGTGCTGCTCGGTTGTGTTTCAGAAGCCCTTGAGGGACAGAAGTCAATTATCAGTCTGGTGGAGTAAGGGAATAAGTAGGCCAGCTGAAAACATATGCTTATAATTTTGCAGATGCTGGAATAATAGTTTACTGGTTTTTTTTTTCCCTCCAAGACTTTGTTTCCACCTCTTATTTCAACTTGTAACGCGGTTTGTTTGCTTGTTGGTTTGACTTCGGGTATCTTAATTTCTATTACCTGCCATTTTCAAATGGAATTTATTTGGTTGAGTAAAGGTAAGCAACAACAGCAGTAGCACAAAGGTAACGTTACAGCTCTGCTTCCTGTGCAATGCAAGTGCCCAGTAGGTGTGCTATGGTGTTGGTGCAGGGCAGAGGCAGGAGTGTGTGCCCGGAGTCGTTAAAGCCTTTTGGAATGCCTTAATGCAATCTGGGAGGAAAAAACTCATGGTAAATGGCTGTATCTGTGTTACTGGACTAGGAGTCCTCAGGGATACCAGTGTCTGAAGCAGAGACTTTGATAGTCGGAGATGAGGGCTCTGCAGGAGAATGTGAGGCCCCGTCCCTTCCCCCTCTGCTGCCCTAAATGCAGCCCTGCCTGGGGGGCTGCTCTGCCCTGGGGCACAAAATGCTCACCTGTGTCTTCTCCTCCAAGGTCTGTGCTCCGTCTGCCCTCCTTTGTAGAGATGTCGGATTGAGTCTCATGAGCTGAAGGATGGGTGGGTGGGTTTCCTCTTTGATGGAGAGGTGTCAGTTTTGAATAGCTCAGCTTTCGAAGATGCAACTAAAATTGAAGTCTGGCTGCAAACCTCTTGTTCTATAAAAGCCTGGTCGTGTGCCCAGTTGCCTCTAATTGCAAATGCCTCGGTGATTAGGTGCTTGAAGTGAAACACGGGGCTGTGTGCACCTGAATAGCAGCAGGGCCTGGTGCTGAAGTCTGCCTGACTGTCTTGAAACACTTAGAAATTCCTCTGAGCTTTTGCCAGAGTCTTCAAGTAGAGAATCTGTGTCCACTTCAAGCATGTTTAACTTCACATAAAATGGCATTAAGAAGTGCAGTTTGTTTTATGGAAGTCTTTTTGCTGATCATTTTTTAGAGACGGTTGGAGTTAAAGTCAGTTTTCAGGCTTTTCTTTTCACTCGCTGTTGCATCTCTGGCTGTGGTTGTGCTCACTACTTTTTCATCTGCAATACATAGAGGAGAAGAAAGCAAGTCTTTGTGTTATTCGAGCACTTCTCAAGCCATGGCAATGATTTAAACAAAGAATGACATTCTAGCCCCTCCCCTCCTTCCAAAAGAAAAGAAAAGAAAAATCAAAAGAGCTTTGTGACTTTGTTTTCAGGTCAGTTTTTCCAGCCTCTCAATGTAGGATTATGCTGTCCCCTCTGCAGGACCGAGGGGTGCACTCAGGTTGGTTGTTGGCATCTGTGTTCAGTTGTCTTCTGTTTTTTTCAAGACAAAATTGCTTGCATATCAGATTTGGAAAGATGGGTTGGTGATGATACACACTGAACAGGCTGCCCAAGGAGGCTGTGGATGCCCCATCCCTGCAGGCATTCAAGGCCAGGCTGGATGTGGCTCTGGGCAGCCTGGGCTGCTGGTTGGTGACCTGCACACAGCAGGGGGTTGGAACTGGATGAGCACTGTGCTTCTTTGCAACCCAGGCCATGCTGTGACAATGAGTTGTTGCTCCTCTGACCTTCAGATAGCAGAAGCAGGAGGCACTGAGTAGTGTTGTCCAAGCCAGCCAGATGTGCAACAAGCCAGGCGTTCCTCAAAATCAAGTGCTGATGAGGGTGATAAAATGTGTATCTGCAAAGGAGCAGGTTAGAAATTCAGTAATTTACAGGATGAGCTCAATTCTACGATGAGTCATTAATTTCTAAAATATAACTTACTGCAGAATATGATTATTCCTTAGACAGAGGGCTGGATCATTATTTTTTTTACACGGCATTTAGCAACCCGTTAGGCATTTGACAGGTGAATAAAAGATTCAGCCCTTTGCCCAAAGAACAGCAGCTTTGATGGCAGCACAGAATTGCTGTAAACTCACCTCTGTTCTTAAACCAGCGCAGTTAAATGGTACAACAGTTACATCTTTTGGGTCAAACCACCCTTACAACCAGTTGGCTTTGGCTTAACCTAAACCTGTAGGCTTGCAGAGGGCAAAACTATCACAAGTAAATTTCTACAGAGCATCTTGGTCTGTAACGTACCAACATCCATCTGACTTTGAGGCTGGTTTGGGGTCTTCTCTTGTGTGCAGCACCATCAGGTGGTGTAGGAAAGTGCTGTGAACTTTGGAGATGTTGGTAGGTGTCCTCTGCTGATATCGTCACGGCCTGTGCTTTGTTTGCAATGGAAGGGATAGCTTGGAATCGTAGAATCACTGGAGCTGGGAGAGATCTTGATGACCATGAAGTCCAACCTTTGGACATTGATCTGTCATCGCTGCACCCACCAAACCATGTTCCTCAGTATCTACACACTTCTTGTGGGGATAGCCTGCTTTTGGAGGGCACTGTTGAGGGCATTTGACCCTCAGGAGCCTGTGGGCATCCCTGGCACGATTGGTGTGGGATGGGATGTCTGTGGTGACCTTGGTGAGACAAACAGCCAGGGCTGTTGTTATGAGAAGTGCTGACACCGTGGAGGCTGTCAGACCAAATCAGGCTGTTAGTGCTGCTGGAGGGCTGGGTTTCTGGGTTATATCTGGCAGCTCCCAACCCTGCACTGGCTGGTGACTTTCAGATGACAGCCGCGTCCAGCCTCGCATCCTGCCAGGTGCTGCTGGTGTGGCTTACCTCACACCATGGGATGTGTTGGCGCGTTGATGGTTGCACTGGATGATCTTGTAGGTCTTCTCCAACCTTGGTGATTCTGTACAGCTGAAAGTTGTCCTGGAGTTGCCCTGGGTGCTCTGAGAGGCTCTGTTCCTGTAGGCACCCACATCTGCCTTGTGCTGTCCTTTATGACGGCTGCTTTGATCCCAGCATCCCAAAGTCTTGCCTTGGGTGGGCTGTTCCCTGCATGAGGAGGAGGTGGGTGGGGATGAGCATCGTAAGCAGCAATAGAAGGGAACGCGGATGGATTTTCATGCTGGGGGGGGGAAGAGAAGAATAGGAAATGTGGCTCCTCTCTTTGGCTGTGCCTGCCAGGCTCACTGCTGCTTCTGGAACGTGAGCGGAGCGGCATCGCTCCATGTCACCGGGAAGCTTAATTGAATGTTTCTTAATGCGCTAATTGAATCTCAAATTAAGTTCCCCCTTAGCGTTCCGCTGGAAAAGGGAAAAGGTTTTTTTGTCGTCGTTGTTTGCAAGCAAATACGGATCCTGATTGCGTGGTGTTGAAATAAGTAATAAATAAGAGTCCCCGAATTATCCTCTCTGTTTGTTGGTGTTCAGAGCCCCGGATCAGCCGCCGGGGCGGCTCTGAAATTCTCACTTCAAGACGTGCTCTCCTGTTCTTGGGCAGATGTGCTGACCGGCTTATGGTCTCCGTGGTAACAAGGTTCCGTTTTTAAAATAGCCTCAAGTCGTGCAAGAGAAGTCGGATATTAATAGCAGAGGCAACGTAGGTATGAATAAAAAAATAGGATTTGGCTATTTCTCATCCAAAATTTCCTGTATTTTGGAGTTACCCGTCTCTCTGTGCGGCGTGGGTGTTTGTTGCAATGCATTCTCCTAGCGTGACCCGTGAGATTAATTCTCTTTGCTGTGCAGTGTGCTTGCAGTGCTGTGCTTTCCCTGTTACAGTGGTAGCACTGGGGATGCCAGTAATGTCACAGCGAGCACAGGGTGCTCACAGGTCAGCTCGCAAATCCTTGGCTGTGAAGATGTGTTACTGTGGCACAGGGCTGGGTGTACTGCTGGCACACAGAATCACAGAATGGCCTGGGTCGCAAAGGCCCACAGTGCTCATCCAGTTCCAACCCCCTGCTGTGTGCAGGTCACCAACCAGCAGCCCAGGCTGCCCAGAGCCACATCCAGCCTGGCCTTGAATGCCTGCAGGGATGGGGCATCCACAGCCTCCTTGGGCAACCTGTGCTAGTGCCTCACCACCCTGTGTGTGGAAAAACTTCCTCCTGATATCCAACCCAAACCTGCCCTGTCTCAGTTTAAAACCATTCCCCTTGTCCTATCACTGTCCACCCTCACAAACAGCCGTTCCCTCTCCTGTTCATAGGCTCCCTTCAAGTATTGCCCAGAGCACATTGGCAGCACTGTGCCCATCCGACCTCACTGCCAACTCCAGCCGTGTGGTTACAGCATAGCAATGAGAACTTCAGCCATTTTCCCAGGTTTTGGGGAACTGAAGGCATGTGAGGCTCTGACTGCATGTGCTGTCATGCAGTTTCTATGGACACGGATGGCTTGTGTGCAGTGCAATCTTGATGTGATTGTCTGTGCTGAATGTAGAGGAAGCAGAGATGATTACATGGGACTCCAAACCTGTATTTGTTAAAATATGTTCTGCTGCTCTGCAAAGCATATGGTAGAGACAGAAATAGCTTTTCCCTAAAATTATTAGGCCTCGGGTGACCTGCAGAGTTGGATAAATAGCTCCTTGACTCCTTTCTGCTGGGTTCAGGGCTATGTGGGAAAACCTGATGTGTATAATCTTCAGATTTCTGCTTTTTTTCTGCTTTTCAGAGGTGTGGAAGTAGATCTCTAGCACAATTTGTTACACACAGGTTTGGGTAGGAACTTCAGCCACCTCCGATAGAGTCACAGAATCACTCAGGTTGCAAAAGACCTTAAAGATCATTGAGTCCAACCACAACTTAGCCATACTACCCTAACTAACAGCCCTCTGCTAAATCGTGTCCCTGAGCACCACCCCAGATGCTCACGGTCTGCAGTTGGAGGCTGCTTTTATCACATCTGCCTGTTACCCAGTCGCCTTCTGATGGCTTTTGGCTAATTGATGCAAGATAACTTGAGGTCCTCAAATGAGGTTTCAGGGCTCCTCCTGCAACTAGTTTTGCTTGGTTTGCCTGTGGAAGTTCTTCAGTTCTTGGGTGTTGTAAGCACTTCACATGTCTCTGTGGGTTCCTGTGTGGCCTTAAGCTTACATCCTAACTGCTGTACTTCTGTACAGTACTTCTGTGCTTTGCGTGCTCCCTTGGCTTTGTTCCCTTTGCTTTCCATCAGTGGGTGCTCTCACACCTTTCTTTGGGTGAGAAGAGTTTTGGGAACTCTTCTTACCTTGTGGGTTCGGTGCTATTTTGTCCTATATCAGGTCCTTGATACACGTTATACATATGTGTTCTACTCCAGTTTTTGTGAAGGACTTTTGGAGCCTATGTACCTGGAATGTCATGGCTGGAAGTTTTGTCGTTCCCGAAGAGCAGCTGCCTCTGTAGGATGGGATGACCTGGCAAGCAGTGGAGGGGCCACCACCAGCTCCTGTCTTGTCCCTCTGGGCAGCCGAGGGCGCAGCACTGAGCCACTAAAAGGCTGGTGTCCTCTTAGTTAGGAAAGTTGTTTGGGGACCGAAAGGGCACACAGTGCAAGCCCAGTCCTTACGATCAGATCCTTGTGCCTGGAGGGGCGTTCGTTCCTTAAGTGATTTGTTCCTAGCGACTGAGGCTGAGATTCCCATTAAGAGAAGTTCCATAAGGGGATGTTGTGTTATTATTTTTTTTTCCTCCTCTTTTATTCATCTTAAAATGATAAAAATGACCTCAGCACAAGACATTTCTTAGGGCATAATGACCAGTTGGGGTTAATGGCCCAAGATGCATTAAGCTTCCAGCCGGTCATTAATCTTCAGAGTACTTCTTGGCAGTTACAGCTTAGATATTATATTCCCTTTTTGGTTTTGATGTTTTGGGGTGATGCAGAGGAAAGACTTGGCAGCGAGGTGCTGGAGGCCCATCCCCATAGTTTCCAGCAGGTCCAGGGTGGGCATCGAGTGCCACCAAATGTAAGCAGCTTCTGTGAGAGGTGAAGGCTGTGTTGGAGATGTGAGGAGTGAGGTGGGGTCAGCACGGCTGAGGGGAGGTGGGAGGGCAGGGGCTGGGTGATGGCAAGGGTGCTCATCAAATGAGCAGTGCAACGTGGAGAATTAGAGGAAAGTTTAAAAATTAAAAAGCAAAAGTAAACATGAGTAGAGGAAAAAGGAGAGAGGCATTAGGAGGGGGGAAAGGAGAGAGGGAATAGGAAGAAGGAGAAAGAAGAGGGCAGAATGTGTCCGTAGCTGTCTGCAGAACAAGGAGTATAATAACTAGCAATGTTTGTGGGCTTGTCAGAATGGGGAACTTTTGCACAAAGTTTGTGCAAGTCTTCTACAACTTTATTTATCTTCGCTGATAGAAAAATCTGCTTCCCCTCTTTTCCTTCAAGGAGCTGTTGGCAGTTGGATGTGCCTTACCCATGTTTGCTCATACTGCAGCAGTTCCTCGGGTTTTGTCTCCACTTTGTTTTCCCTTTAGGGTTAGGGACAGAATTGGTAGAAATCCTGGCAAAAAGGAGACAGCAGCAAAGCCAGAGGAACATGCTTTCCTGCAACCAATGGGCCTTCCTAGGTGCCCTCTACAGAGATCTCTTTCTGTTTCTTCAAGGTATTTTTCCAGATCTGGGATGTAGCTTGTGAGACCCCTGCAAAGCAATGAGATTTTCCCCAACATCTTGACTTCAGCTCACACAGTCCTGTTTTCTCAGTGGTAACAACGAAGTTACTCAGTTACTAGGTTACCAGACCTCCAGAA